GGGTAAGAGAATCAGTTAATCAAAAAGTCCTGTTCCCTGCACAGATTTCCTGCAGAGGGAACTAGAGATGCCAACTGCTGACTGGAATAGGCCTGTTTTTTTTAGCTGATCAGCCGTGACAGATGACTGATCAATTTCACATATATTTTTCTTGGACTGGAGCCTCACTTGTCCGTCTCCAGAAACATGGCTTCGGGTAGCTATAATGCAGACAATGACTAAGTTATTGATTTGGTCATAGACAATACCCCTGTGAAACAAAATCTAACAAGTAATAAGTGTTTCTAGGTGTCTCAAATGCTAATGAAATAGCCAGTTTAACCACTGCCACTTCCCGTTAGTGCACAGTTAGTGCAATTGGTTTCAAAGTCTTCCCTTTATTTTCTATTGCAGTAATTTCAGTTGAAATAAAAGTTGTTCAATGTTTAGTGGCTCCAACTTCAACATCTGTTCAGTCTCATCTCCCAATACAGTGGCACTGAAATCCAACTAGGAACTAGGATTAGGTTGGTGTAAATACAGGGTGACGCAAGTCTGTAACACAATGGAATAGACTGGAGTTTTTATCTATACAATAAGCTCTGGCCACTAACTTAAATCACATCGGTCACTTGACATTTGTTTGAATTAGACTGACTCCTGACACAAGTCTTGTAATCTGGGGCCGTTTTAGAGGAAAAGGGTTGATTACTTAATAATTTAGCCATTTTGAGGTTATTCAAGGCATTATTGATCAATAATGACCTGAAGAAATACAGGACAGTGTGTTTTCATCCACTATGAAATTAGAATAGCACTTTGCCCATCTTTGCGAGAAGGTACACTAAATATAAAACTTGTTATACAGTCAGTTTAGCGAGATAAGTACAGCTCTGTTTGACCCCTATTCATTTATATATATTTTTCTAAATCCTGTAATCACACATGAATGTATATGATGGACATCATTTTCCAGTTTTGATTTGAAAAGACTACCAAAGTTTTTGTACTGAATTTAATATAATATAATTAGCTATAATGTAAACTGTGTCCATCCTGCATATAATACACCTGTACTGAAACTGCTCTAAATGTCAAAGCTTTTCACACAAAGAGTGTCTGAGGTCACTGGATCTCCCCAAACCAGTTAGCTGTCTGGGCTCATTGTTGCCTCATGCAGGCAGTTGGCTCCTCGCCCCGCCCTCACCTCTTTTATGCTCCAGTCCTCGGGCAGCATGGTTTAGAGCCGAGACAGGTTTTCACCGAGGGAAACCAAAGGAATCTTACCTAGCAAGCTCGCTAGTCAGGCATTGACGTGGGTTAAAGCGAACCGCACAGCAGCAGATTTACGAAAACTGAGAGTAGGGGGTTAGCAAATATTTCAAGACCTGTCTGGTGTGTAGAGTAACTGTAGTCTCAAATAGACCTATTTCAGTGACAGTCATTAAATTAAACCAGCAAGAAAGGAGGAAAAAAGGTGTGCAAATGGCTATTACACAACTCAAGGATCCATCGTCACATATTTACTTTATTATGAGATATCACAAAATCTCTGATTTAATCTTTATATCTTAAAGCTCTGATTTAAGAAACTGGAACTAGTAACTGTTGTTTATGCTTTTAATAATTCTTTGCAGTTCTTTAAGTGACAACCCAAACTGTATAGAGCCAAGAAGACCTCAGATGGTTGGTATAAGACTTCAGAAATACTGAAAAGGCTCTGTGGTTTAAATAAGATATGATAATCAAATATTACCCAGGCAGTAAAAAAGCTCATATAGTTGGCAGTCATGCCCTGGCAAAAGCAACAGGTCCTGACCTTTGACCCCATAATCTAACTAATCCTGTCCATTCAAGATCCAAGTAAAAACGAGCTCTTAAGTAGGTCATGAGGCTGAGATTTGCTCATCATTAAACTGTTCACCCAAACAGTTGGTAAACAGCCATTTGATGGCAAGAAGTTTCCCCACATCAACAGTCTGGCGATGTACAGAGAAACAGAGCCAGAGAGGGAGGGCTGTATGAGGAAGTAGGATGCTTTTGTGGTTAAGGAAGTACGCTGAGCTTACAGGCCTGTAACACTGTGTGTGTTTCTAGGCTTTAGGGGGGTGGAGATGGACCCATATAACTAAAACAGAACCTCAATTGTGTGCTCAAGACATTCTTTAGAATAAAAAACAACATTTTCTTCTGTCAGCTTTTTTCAACATGTAGAGACCAGATAACTACCATAAAACCAGGGAAAGAAGACACATTTGTACACTATGTAGAAATTTAATTTTTTTATTGCGTTGAGCTTAATGAATACACGAGGCAGAAACTAATAATCGATTAGTCGAAAACTGGCATCTATTTTGGTTTTCAAATAAACATTTATATTTCCGTGTGCCGGATAGTCTCATGACTTACAGTGTTTGAGAGATGTTTACCCTACTTGGGTATGCAATGACAAAAGTCGTCTATTTAAATACCGATATAGTGATGATTTTTTTATAGTGTGACATTTGATGCCTTCGCATAAGTACATAATTCCTTATACCTCTGCACACCGCTGCATAAACATAGTTTTTGTTGGACAGACCTCCAGCTAAGAGAAACATGAAAACAGTGACATAAACGTTCGTCACACACATGATCCAAAGGCCTAGCCAGGTTGTGTAGCCGCTCCCAGGTAAAGGGAGAGTGAGCATACATACCTGGCAGAGGCTAACTTAAACTTGGTTAGCATTACGAATTTACTCACCCTTGCTCGAACAAGCGGATGTTTGCTAGTCTCGTCCTCCTAAACAACATGAATGGGAAGTGTCGATGTAGAAATCCTTCGTAGGGGAGAGTCTGACCCCCCCTTCCAAAAAAATGATGGGAGGGTGCTGGTGAGCTGTGCTGGCGTAAGTTACCAGCGACACTAGCAGGTTAGCTAGCTAGCTGTCGATGGTTTCAACGGATCGGCTAGCGGCGGGTTCACTGGAGCTAGCCGCAGTTAGCTGCTTTGCACCGAGCTGTTTACTTTCCAGCTGTCAATGTCAGCGCAGTCCGGCTGCCTGCAAACTCTGTCCGCAAGAGGTCTTTGAGATAAATAGTGCATTAAACAAAGTGCTGGGCGCGCCTGAGAACCACTTTTTATCAGTTTTGGGTAGCTATAGAAAACTTTACCTGCACTCCTGACCTGCCAGCAGAGCCATACTCCCTGCTGACACCGTTTTATCGCTCTCTTCTCGGAAACCCGGAAACAAGCAGAGCGACACAAAATGGAGCACAACAGCGGTGCATTAAAGCGCTGCCGTAAATTCCAGCTTTAAACTGAACAAGGTCATATGGGTACTAACAAAACTCAGTCCTGAAACGTGTTTGATTTAATGGGACGTGTAATGTTTAGACTACGTCAATGTCACGATTTACATTTTCAGTTCAGTTGATCTAATTTTCATATCCCGTAAGATGTGGAGCATTGGATATATTTCGTGTTTGATGAAAATATTCTTTCACTGTATAAAATAATTGTTATGGTTCCTTTGGTGCTAGAAGTTGAGGTAAACGGTTACTTTTTCATATATTTAGAGTTCCCCTCTAGTCTAAGCAGTTAACAGCAGTTAAAAATTATAAACGGTGATGTGGAGTCTTTTTGAATAATTTTCTTATTATGAAATATGTGGGAAAGGTAAAAACAAGAAAACAAACAGAGAA